CTTTAACTTTTACCAAAGTAATTTTTTGGTAAGATACTTGTACTTTTACTCAAGTTTCACTTTGTGGTATCCCTTTTTTATACCAAATTTCCCTCTGGGATCAATAAAGTATTATTGAATTGAATTGAATTGAATTGAATTGGTACTTTATACAACACTGTATTTAGCCATCAGGTGTTTCTTTGCTACAAAGGAAATAGAGAACGTATCGATAAAATCTATTAAAATGACCAACGAGTGATTAGTTTAAATAAGTTTCACAAAGTCTGCTCTGGTGAACATTTGGAACTGGTGATAAAGTGTGTATTTTTATTTATTGTTTGTTTTTATTGATTTTAGTTGTTCTATAAGAGAGAAAGGAATCACTCAGTGTAAAAGAAAAAGAAAAATCAGTATCCTTCTTTAAGAGGCGGACATAAACATCGCCCTGCCTCCAGTTTTAAACGTTTGATACGTAAATGAGCAGCAGCCCAAGTAGGGGGTCTCTGCGGACGAGTGGGCGTGTCACAACAAAAGGCGGTTCTAAAGCGACACACCTGATTTGACGGACTTTTTTTAAGGGACACACCTGAGTGAACAAACAAAAAAGGGGGCGTCACCGTACGGCACCACCTGATTGGACAAGAACAAAAGGGGCGTTACTGTACGGCACCACCTTTTCGGGAGACCCCTACTTGGGTCACATTTCTCCTGGTTAACCTCAGTGTTGGGGTCAGGGTCAGGCTGTGTAGAGGTCAAGCAGGGTCTAAGGATACCGTCATGTAGGCCTCGTAGCCCACAGTGTTTATRCTTTAGACACGCCCACTCTTGTGACACGCTCACTTTGATTCCGCAGACAATCCCTTCTCGCAGCAACAGCGGCAGGCTCCCATAATGCACTCCCCGACCGTCAGCGGGAAACCAAAATGGCGAACTTGCTGCGGCTAGCAGGAGCCGTTTGTTATTTTTCCTGAAAAGGCACGAGCCCCGTGGCCTCGGTGGAAACGCGTCTGAGCTAAACTGACCCAGGAGAGGAGCGGAGAAAAGCAGCGTCGCTCCTGTAATCCGGCTGTTTGCTGGTTTGTAAAGGCGGAGGCGAGCCAATGAGGTATTGTTGTCATGTTCTCCCGTTGTTGAGGGGGAGGAGGAGGGTGTGGGTCCGACGGTCAGCCACCGGCCTGGCTGGCCCCTGCGTCGCTGCTTCGCACGGGGGCTGCTTCTTATTTTACTCTGTTTTTAAAGTTAATGTTATTTAATCGTGTGGATTAATCTGACCGAAGCTGTTGTCCTCCAGTGGGGGATCCTGTTCAGTCATTGTCTGAACAAAGGGATGGTCAGGAGTTTCTGATATGTCCAAYAAAAACCCTCCACTGCTGCTGCAGGACAGCTAACAAGTCCCTTTGTTTRAATAAACCTCAAACTGGGACATGATGCTAATGTTAAAATGAGAAGTCAGCTTTTCCTTTGCCTTTGTTTGATTATATGTGTGTAAGCTTGTGGAAATGCCCTGCACGCCTTTACTTAATTACCAATTAGCACTAATTATGAGTAAAGTCACCTGTTGTGTGTTGCCACTGAAGCGGAAATGGCTGCAGCTAAACAAAGCAGTCCAGTGTTCCAAATCCCAGCACTCAGACTTTCACTGTGTGTTGTGTACAGATATCTGTGGGAGGGATAAAACACACACACACACACACACGTGTGTTGTTTTTACTTGTAGTTTTTATGGGTATTGCCCACTGCTTAAAGCAAAAAAAAAAAAAAA